TCCAGTGCCTAAACCACCACACCACCTGTTGGCCCAGTGATTCTTTTATTAAATGTTTATTATATTATGAACATTTTTACTCATAGCATATATACTTAACAAATAACTTTGTTATAAAACACTATAGATTTATCCATATAGAAATCCTATTTGGCAAATAGACTTTTTTTTTTTTTTTGTAATGGGAAAATATAATCCCATCACTTCTAACATTGTGGGGATATACCTTGGGGATAATTTTGGGAAACATAGAGCTTAATTTATAAGATTTATCACGTAGATAAGTTGAACTAATCATTTAAAATCTTTCCTCAGCCCAGTCATGTGGCATTATAGAAGTGCAATACTCTGCAATGCTGGAAGCCATATAGAAGATTGAGATTCAGTTTCTGACTTGACCTGTACATATACTGAACATGTATATGCATGCCTATGATCTTGGCTGGCTGGGAAAGAATAGGGGTGGAGGGTGGGGAGATTATAGCATGAAGACTCTATTAAAGGAGCTTCTTTCTATAAATCAATAAATAAATACTTTTAAAAATAAAATCTTTCCACAATGAAATTCCAGGTCTAGATACTTTCACCGGTGACTCTTATCAGACATTGGTGGTAGAAATAATGTCATTTATTCAGAAAATAAAAGCATAAGGAAAACTTCCCAACTCATTTTATGAGACAAATAACATCAAAGACAGTACAGAGAAATGAAACTACGAATCAGAGGGAGCACAGCAGACTTTTAGACTTGCTTTTCAATGTTGTAACCTATCAGGGGATTCCTGAAGAATTAGTCTCTGTTTTGCCTCTTTCAGATTTCAAGCAGAGTAAGCAGTGGATGGTGCTTGGGAAAGCTGCAGGGAGACTGGCCCATAGAATGAAAGTTTATGAAGAGAAACATTCAATGGACTATCAAAGGCCCCAAGGAGAGACTAGTTTGGAAATTAAGACATTTAAAAGCAGTTGTGTACCTAGGAAAATTAAGCGCATGCATGTGTGCGCACGTGTGCATGCGCACACACATACATAAGATTCATGCTCAGCAAAGATCTCATAAGTCTTTAAAATTTCTCCTTAGCCTAACCCCAAGGTTTAGAACCTGGGCCCAGCTAATTAGCGAAGAACTTTCCTGGTACAGGAAAAGTCTGCAAAGACTGGGAGAAATGACTATTCTCTCAAGTGCCCAGTTTAAAAAAAAAATCAGGAAAACATAGCTATTTATTATTTTTTGAGAGGTTTTTGCTCTATGGCATGTGCGCTTGCCAGAAAGACAGAGAGAGACAGAGAGACAGAAAGCGAGAAATAACCCCCCCCAGGGGTGGATGGCCACACCGCAATCCCTTCTTCTCCATTTGCCTCTTCCTCAGGCATGCCCACGTGCCTGGCATGAGTTTTAAGCCACCGGGTCTGGGACTTGAACCTCAGTCGACTACATGGGAAGTCCAGCAACATAGCCATTATGCTAACTGCTGGGCCCAAAACATGGCCAATTAAAAAAAAAGAAAAGAAAATGACAGAAACTTTCCTAAAAAAGTATGTGTCAGACTAACTAGACAAAGACTTTAAAACAACTGTCTTAAACATACTCAAATAGCTAAAGAAAAATATGGACAAAGAACTAAGGGAAATCAGGAAAAAAAGAGGCTGATGGTGGTACAACAGTTAAATATGACATTCTGCAAGGCCAATCCACATGAGGTTTCAGATTTATGTCTGGAGACCTCCCTGAGAACTCTAGTCATGCACCTGCCCACGATGCAAGGCTGGCCAAAGTTGGAGGTGGATCACAGTATCAAGACCCTGCTGTGGATGTTTGCTGTCTCTCTCACTCATGGAAAAAGAAAAAAAAAAACCCAAAAACTCCAAAATAGAAACTCTGCCTGTTTTCAGCTTGTGGGTCTGTCCTGCATACTTCTGATTCAAGATTACAACATCAATTCTTACTTCAATTTCCAGTCTGTTGTTCTGCCCTATGGATTTCAGGCTTGTCAGCCCCCACAATCATGTGAGCCAATTCCTTAAAATAAACCTTTTTTCTTTCTTTCTTTTTTTGGGGGAGAGGTTTTTGCTACAGGGCGCATGCACTCACCAGAAAGAGAGAGAGAGATAGAGAGACAGAAAGCGAAAAGTCCCCTTCCAGGGGGGATGGCCATGCCGCAATCCCTTCTCCTCCATTTTCCTCTTGGGATCTTGGGCATGCACACATACATGCCCGGTGTGAGTTTAAGCCACTGAGTCCAGGACTCGAACCTATGGGACTACATGGGAGTCCAGCGACATAGCCATTACGCTAACTGCTGGTCCCAAAATGAATCTCTTTTTCTATGTATCCCCTACTGGTTCTGTTTCTCTGAAGAACCCTGACTAATACACGTACACTTTCCATCACAATAAAAAAGCACTGAAAACACTTGAAGTTCTGGTCTTGAAACACTGCATGGTATGGGGGAAATGCATGACTCCTAAATCACAGAGCAGAGTTCAGTGGCATAAACGACTTAAGGTCTTAGAATATGATTCCCCATCAGGAGAACTGGGATAAAGTTACCTAATTTATGTGGCTATTATGCTGGTAAACATTGCATGTAGAATACCTCCCATGGTTCTTGGCTCACAACAGGTGTATAATAGCGTATGTGTATGCTGAAGGGAGATGCACTGTTTAGATATCTACTCAGCATTCTGAATCTCACTTAATTGACCCAATCTCTTAGATGTTATTCATTGCAATAAAGCTATTTTATTTGACATACACTGATACCACAGCAATACCATCTTCTGGGTGGTTAGGTGTACACAAAATATAAAGATGATTTGAAGTTGGTTCTGCCCTTTATGTACTTAAAATCTAGGATAGGTTATGTTTCCACATTTAGACACTACTTATTACTTCCTGGGGTTTTGAGAAGCAAATGTAGTAACAGAAGAAAATGTTCAGCATGACCCCTGACTTTGTCTGTGTTGCCTTCATCTTGCATCCTGTCCATTCTTGCCTAGAGCTAGGTGTACATTGGTCCTGTGCTTGGCTCAACACATCAATTAGCTGTTATGAAAGTAGTTAAGCTTTCAAAGATAAGTTGGTTCATTTGTTGCACTAAAGGGAAGCTTTCCATCCAGTAAAGGCAAAAGCCACAAGACCACAATGGAGGCTTTATTTCCTTTAACAGTGGCAGACAGGGCCAGCCCATCTCATGGTGTTTAAGGTAGCCAGATCCCACAAGAACATCATCTGTACAGCTGTCTGAAAGTGGCAGCTTCAGAGAGACATACTGAGTGTGTTGTGTGTGTCCAAAATCCCCAAAAGAGAAAACGGGATTGAAGCCTGGCCATGCTCCATGGAGTGGGAGGATTCTTTCTCATTTCTTTCTCTCACGCTTTCTCTTCCTAGGGATTGCATGTGCGCCTTCACACACATAGCCATGAGGAGATAATAAAGAGATCTTATGGAGGTTTTGCTGATTTATCAGATCACATGCCTTTGGTACCCTAGTAGAAAGAGGCCCTGCAGTACTTTAAAATGCTTGCGCCTGCCACCGTGCCAGTAGCTAGTCATCCAAAATAAGTGGAAGGGTGGAAGCCCTAAGAATTGAGCTAAGTCAACATGTTGACAGCAGGGAGAGTTTGTCCAGGCTGAAGTCTCAGAAGTTGGAATGTACTAAAAATGATTAGTTGCTGCTGATTCTCCACTTTGGGGGAGAAATGTAACAAGAACAACATGCAAATTATATATCCACGTTATAAAATAGGTCAAGAGTTCTTTACCTTCTCCCGCTTTCTAAAAATCAAGTGTCAGCAAACAAGAAACATTTTTGGTAGGACATGCCATCTTTTTTCCTTTGTCTTCTCAATGTCCTCTTTTTTTTCATAGCATACTCTAGCTTCTTTCTCGTAGTTTTTTCCCTTACATCCCAGATTCCCCCTTTATTGGATAATTCTCAGCACCTCTCTCCACGCTTTGGGCCAGGTGTGGCCCCTGGGCAGGTGTCCAGGGGAGCGCTCAACTCCCGCCTCGCAAAGGGACGAGCAGTGACGTAGAGCGGAGGATGGTGCCCGCGCGGCCCGTTGACGTCACTGCCGCAGTGGTCCCAAGCGAAGCCCAAGAATGGGAATTCACGGAGGGAAAGCCGACCGTGACCCTGCAGTCAGGGCTGAGCGTGGCCAGTGCGCTGCAGGCTTCGGGTTCCTGGGGTCAGCAAGCCGGAATAGCGCCTCTCGCGCGGGCTGAGCCCACCCCACACTCTCAGCGCGCTCCAACGCAAGCACTGGGCGATGAGGGGATGCCCCTAGGCGGTGGCGCCTTGCGCGCACGCGCCTTAGGTTGCGGGGAGATAGGAAAAGGAGCTGTGGGAGGGGGTGCAGCGAGCCGGGAGATGAGACAGGTGGGGGAGGAGGAGGTGTGTGGCTGGAGGGCACCAGGTCAGACCTCCAGGGTGCGGTAGCTGGTCACACCGTCAGCCGCTAGCCTGTCTCCGTGGGCGCTGCGGCGGGGCGGGGGGCTGAGC